GTGTGTGTGTGTGTGTGTCTTCAAAAGATTTGAAGTAAAGTACTATGAACCATATTTGAATACATTTTTTCTTGTTTTTGAAGCTCAGCAGTCTCCCATTCAATTCCATTAAAAGCTCAATTCTGTCATAATTTACCCACCCTCATGTTATTCTGAACTTTTCTTAATTTTTATGTTGAACTGTTTCTTTAATGTGAATTGTTTATCTGTCTTTTCTCAGATGGATTCAAGTTGTGTTCTGTCCTGTGGTGTGAACCCTAAGAAAGTTTACTATGTGCTAAACCCAGATGGAAACCTACCTGACACTGAGAATCGCTTTAAAGAATGGTTTACTGGGTAAGTTCACAAAATGTGCACTAACACACTGACAGACAGTTATGTAACTGGTCCTGTTTCCAATTGATCATCTCTGTCTGTGACTGGCCAGTGAGCGAGCGTGGCAGGGGGTTTGTGGAACTGCTCCTGACCCAGATAAACTACAAGAGGCTGTGACCACCAAAGACCTTTACATGTGAGTGAAACGGCGAAATAGTTGCTATTATTTATTTAATAAAGCATTGATGAAATATAAAGTGATTTGTGGCTGACAATATGTATTTGTACCTCTGTGTAGTTACATAGGACATGGTGCAGGAGCCCGGTTTCTGGATGCTCAGAGGGTTTTGAAAGGGCCTGTGCGGGCAGTAGCTCTTTTGTTTGGCTGCAGTAGTGCTGCTCTCAGTGTCCTTGGCCACCAGGAAGGAACAGGAATCATCCTCAGCTACTTGACAGCAGGATGGTAAAGTGCACATTCATGTACGAAAATATTGTGTGTAGATGTTTATGAATTGCTTTATCATTAAGTATAGTTCTTTGTCTCTTCACCAGCCCATTAGTGCTCGGTAACCTGTGGGACGTGACAGATCGTGATTTAGATCGGTTCACGTCGGCTCTGCTCCAGTCCTGGCTCTCTGCTGGTTCTGGCTCCTCCCTTCTTCAGCATTTAGCCCAATCACGTAACGCCACACATTTAAAACATATAATTGGTGCTGCACCCATTGCCTATGGTTTGCCTGTGTATATTCACTAGCCCGGATTTGAACTTTTTTATTATTCACTGCTAATGTAGTACATTTTTAATGTGTAAATGCAACTATCTATTATTTATGGTCTCAGGGCTTGTTTACAATGCAAAAAATAAGCTCTGCCTATATGAAAATGAACCTAGGAAATCTAGGATTAAATCTAACTTGGGCCTAGTTGACAAACTCAAAGTGTTTAGCCATTTTGAAGTCCTCATTTAATTTCTGCCGTGTTGTTGTGTGGTTGCAGTTGCTGATTTAGTAACCTCAATATGTTTTACTCCAGTATTTGAAGTCACATGTTTTTGATGTGTAAGTTCTTTCTTGTATTTTCATTTTTATTTCCTCCAAGTTATATCAAATGCCAAACTGCTTTAAAATAAAATGATTTTATAGCCTGTTTTTCACAGTGGTGGTTATTTCAACGTGATATGGTATAGCAGGAATGAGCGAACTACATTTAAGAATTAAAGAGCACATATGGGGAAAATCAACACGAATAGGTTAACAATAATAGATAAACTGACAGGCTGCTCTAGCAGCAAGGGTCATAAACAATGAAGCCTGTGTCTTCAGAATGTCAAGGACAGTGGTTTCGGAGGACATGGGGGATCTAAATTTCTAACGTGCCTCAGATGTTTGTCTGATATGTGTGCAGGGGCAGGCTTAATGGTGGATCTGAGGAAAGTAAAATTATTAACTGGAACCCAATAAGATTTTAAATTACCTTAATTTGCCTTTTTCAGTGATTTTGGTTTCTTTGATTCACCTGTTTTTACCTTTTGGGCTTTTGTAAATAAGTGTGTTCAAGACCCACATTGTTTTTGTTGGTAAAATCTACATATAATTTTGGCAAAATGGCATGCGCATAAAAATAAAATTCTTGTTGAATTGTATGATGCTACAGGGTAAATCCAATCTTTTAACTAACATTAGTAAAGACAAAAATCCATCAAGAGTTTTTATGAGCTTTACCGAGTATTTGAATAATTACTTTTTTGCATTTTACTATTCTGTTGATTTTTTTTCTTTTAAATTGCGTTGAGTAATATTTTTTTAAAATACAAAATCATTGCTAAAAGTCATTCCAGTTGTGTCCGGTTGACCCGGAAGTTTTCCTCACCTTATTCTATTGTCAACATGGCGGTGAATCTAACTGAATTGTCTCTTCCACAGTTAGAAGGCTTGAAAACTCAGCTTGATCAGGTAAAATGTGTTATAAATATACCCATTTCCTCATTTCATTTTGAACCGCAATATACGCTGATATAATCAGTCAATGGATTAGTGAAGCGCACGCAGCGGCTGTCATGCTGTCTGTTCGCGTGCCGCTGCTTGTGCTCTGTAATTCACCATTAAACTGATACTTCAGCCAAATGTGAATATTCTGTAATTATTCACTAACATTCTTGTCCTTTCAATCCGTGTGACTTACATTTTTACCATTGAACACAAAAGGAGATGCGAAATGAAAGACACAGTCACCATTTATTTGCGTAGCATAGAAAGACCGTCAGTCGGTTATATCAAAACATTCTCCCTTACGTTGAGGAAATTATGACATATTTTCACCTTTTTCTCTTTAAATGCTTCCTTTGAATAATATTTTAACGAGAATGAGTTTTTTAAATATATAAATACAGAAAAAACATAATTTTAAAGATGAATTTTTATTACTTTTATTTTGCTAGGATGGGACAGATCTGCACACATTAGAATAAACTTTTTTCTATTTTTGTCTTTAGTAAACTGCAATTTATCAGAGCCATGGTAACAGATAAAATGACAGGAATTTGTTTTCTAGGAAACCGAGTTCCTGTCATCATCCATAGGCCAGTTGAAAGTTGTCCAAACTAAATATGTGGAGGCCAAAGACAGTTTGAATGTACTTAACAAGAGCAATGAAGGTGAGTATTACTGCTGAACTCTATTTGATGCTCATTTTAAATAAATTGAGTTATTCCATTGTTACATCTTTAGCTAAATCTAATCTGTACACTGAATTCTTTTTACTATTTTTTCCCCCC